TGAATGAATAAACACAAATTCCACAAGTCATTCATTATTAACATTTTGCTTTCGTAAGGACAATAATTTCAGTAAAAAACTAAGAACAACAGCAACTATTAAATATACCATTTGTAATTGAATAAAATATATATTTAATTAAAATGTATGTATCTAGAAAAAAATGACCTAATTATAGGTAAAGGACCTAATTTTAGGTAAATTTTCTAGATACATACATTCTAATTAAATATATATTTTATTCAATTACAAATGGTATATCTAGTAGCTGCTGTTGTTCTTAGTTTTTTCCCATCATTCACATTATTCCTGGAAAAAAATTCTTATTCTTGCAAGATTCATCGTATATTTTTTTATTCTATTTCCACATAAGCACGTGGAAATTTTTATGTAAAAGTGCTTACTTTCTACAATGTCTGCTTCGAAATCCATTTGAAAATATAACATTGATGACAAAAAATTTTCATATGGTCAGTTGGTCAAATTTATCGAAATATCGAATCACCATATTGTTTGCATAAAGTAGAAAACTAATGCATATATAGACCGTAGTGGTGATGGTGAAGTCAATCAGACAGAGGAAAGCTTTCACACGTGCCTCCCGATCTATATATGACCAGAGCATGGATACTTGTATTTGTACTTTTTGTATGTTTCAAGTACAAATAACTAATATTTGTACTTTAGAGCAGTACTTGTACTTTGTACTAATACTTTAAGTCATTTCAAGTACTTTTACGGTTCCATTAGAACCGCAGTTCTCAGTTCTCAGCTTTAAACCGGAAATTAATTTTTCAGGTAGTAATAATTCAACGAAATAGAATTCATTTTATAGTAAATAAAATAAAAGGATTCTTTTAAATGATGACAGACAAATATATCTTTTTGTAGCTTTGTCAATAGTGCAAAATAAGTACTGTGTTGAAATAAAGTATTCACATCAGTAAAAAAACAATTTTTTTTCCGCTTTTTTATATACCAAATCTTTTAAAAATCCATGAATTTTTGCCCGGAACTTCTACGGATTTTTTGGAGGTGTAGGTTTTTGTCCAGTCACATTACGATTCCTCGAAAAAATGGTGTGATTGAGCTCAAATTTCTACCACAGATATTTTGGAATCTATCTCAGATTCTAATTTTTTTTCGAAAAACATGCTTTCCTTCTCGAGATGTACGAAAAATGGTGAAGACCCTATGACCAAAGTTGAGGTTTTTTGCAGATTTGATAGAAATAGATCAGCCAGAAGAAAAAAAGTACTGATAATCAGCGCCATAAGAGAGCAACTATAGATTATTTACTGATATCCGAAAGCGAGCTTCATGTTGAGACGGTCAAACCCCTTCGTTACATGTCGGATGTTACACAAAAAAATTAATATTATCGTTCACTAAATTATACTCATTATACATAATGTATAATTCAGTTCGATAAAAAAGCATTTTCGATCGGTACTTAAAGGTTAAAAACGAGGATTTGACAATTCCTGTAAACGGATCGTTTTCAGAGTGACCGTTAACAGTCTGTGAACCGCCCGTCAAAAATGACCTGGATAAAACGGTATACATTCGAAAAGAAGACATCTATACGCTTATTTACTCTTGGATTTCAACGCTGTAGACACCTTTCGTAACGCAAAAACAACATGTATTTTTCAATCCAGACCAGTTCATGATTTAAAAGGTTTCAGTGCAGGCTGACATGATGAGCTCGAAAAATACTGACTCCAGTCCACACGGAGTTCTGCCAGTCAACCATTGAGATGTTTCGTTTTTAATCAACGTAATATTTTTGCATCATGTAGAAGAAATTATGGGTATCTATAAACGTCGATGGTTGTATCTTCTTTGTCGCGTTTTTAACGGACTATAAAACCTGGTTCTAACTTCGATGAACTCAATCAAATAAAATTTTTAAATTCATTTCAAAAGAGACAGTACATTTTTACAACTGTTACAAAAAAGTTATATAAGACGTTGATTCATTGGAGACAGTTGATTAATGTCTATACAATTTGCAGCGCAGTTTATTTCTAAAAAAAACACTATCAAACATTAATAAAATAATTTTTCTTTAACCCATTGACTACCGGTAAAAGGTACCAGTTCACGAATGGATTCTGGTGTTTTCGTCATCAGATTCACCACTTTCCCATCTATTTTCATCAACCTCTACGGATTTAGTGCTCGCCAAAATTGCATGTATTTCTTGAGTTGATAGACGTCTTCTGAATACAGTCATATTCACAGTGGCACGTGGCAGACAAAATACTAACTGTAGAGAGTGGCGTAAGCGCAAAATCTGCAAGCATCATTTTAATAGGACACCGGTAAGCAGAGCAAAAACCGCCGTTCTATATATAGAACACTGGTAGCCAAAGGGTTAAAGTTAAGGGTTAGGATCCAGTTCAGATCATCACTATAGTTGAACTAACAATATTACAAGATTTAATATTCATATCACCGGATCGAAAAATTTTAAAAGCTTGTTCGGTCAAAACCGATTGCAGATTCGTCTTCTCCATGGTTGATTATGGAGTACGCAATAACTTTTGAATCGGGGTACTTTAGAAAAAAAATTTCCCATGGTCTTGCTCAAAAACTTTTCAAAAAGTTACCGTAACAGACCAAAGACAAAACGATGTCGAAAAAATTTTCCAAAGTATCTCGATTCAGAAGTTATCGCGTACCACATAATCAACCATGGAGAAGACGAATGTGCAATAACTTTGACCAAAGAAGCTTTAAAAATTTTTCGATCCGGTGATATGGCTATCTTGTAGAAATATCAAACTATTCATTCTAAACATTTGTCAAGTAGAACATATACCTAAAATCAGCCTTCGCTGGCTAAACTTGTCGAATTTCGCTGGTTTTTCTACAACTGCTCCAATTTTAGTTAACTATTCATCCTATCAATTTTTCAAATCTTATAATTTTAAAATTGTAATTATTTTCAAACCTTGTGGCACTATACATTGCTGTCTAAACACACGCACAACATGTATCAGAACAGTGATTTATGAATGTCGTAGGTGTCGAAGGGAATTTTCTGAGTTCACCTCAAACAGTAGAACTTATACATCCATACACTAGTAGCTATCAACAACAAGAGTCAGCCATCGTATGCAGAAGAAAATGGAGAACAAATAAAAGAGAAATGGCTGAATGTTTACGTAGGTTTCGACCAGTGTGCAAGAACTCATCGAGTTTCAACCATTAGATCTACCATGAATTGTGAGGGTTTTATGTTACTTAAGGTTTTTCACATTTATGATGATGTTAATATTGAGAAAGTAAAAGTTTTTTTTAAACTCATCCGTTAAGATTTGTACGATCGTGTAAATTGATTCATTTCTTATCAAAATAACGTCATATTTTTCTATTCTTAAATATGATTTTCTTTCTTCTATCCTTCCAGTTTATGATAGAAAACATCGGTACTATATATTACGATATATATGTGTATGTGTGTGTATATATACGGGCTAATATCTGGAAACAAGGTTATTCACTAATGTTTTATAACCTTGCCGATTAATAACACTGATGAGAAAAAGAGCTATGAAAAAATGTATGATATCATGGAATATTTTAATGAGAACTTCAATTGTTTATTGTTTTCTATTTTTAGAATGTGGTGTACTAATATTTATATAATTAACTAATAAAAATCATGAAACATTTCGTTAGACTATTGGTAAGCTATAAATTTAAGTAGAAGAAGATAAATTCTATAATATATCTATATATTAGCTTCGATTTAAACGGTCAAAAAAACTTCAAATATTTATCAGTATATCTGTGCTAATTATTTTATTCGTACGTCAACCATATTTTTTTACGAAAGAAGAAAAAAGATCAAGTACAAATAGACAACGATCTAAAAATGATTACACAAATAATAGTGATGAATTATCTTCGAATATCAATTGTGCATATAGGGTAAGAAATATATCTGATGGTAAAAAGAATGTAGATTGTATTGGCTATACGCATTGAATACAGAATAAAATAGTTTTACAAGATAACAAAATGATAATTTTGAAAATCTGTTGTTGTTTTTTATTTTTTCCTGAAATTGTACAAAATTGATCATAATTTCAAAATTTTACGAGTTTTTCGTAGTGAAAAATAATTTCAAAAGATTAAAATGTTGTAGTCATAAAAAGTAATTTACGTTTTTCTCGGCAGCGTATACTAAATATAAGATTTTTCCGTCACATTTAGTGCTAAAGAATCCGATTTGATTATAAATGAGAGTTAATAGTTATGGCAATGATATACAAGAGCCGGAGTTTCGGATAAAGTATCAAAAGTCAAGTTCTTGTATGTCATTCCTATATTCTCTATTTCTGGTATTTTGAAACCAATTCGAACTCGTCATCCTTTAATTTGAGAAATAAACCTTGTAATTGGTCGATGCTCATTTTGTGCGATATTTCAGCATCCTCTGTCAAAATAGCTGAAGTCAGAAAATCTTTAACACAACTATTTCTAGACATGACCAACATCGTACTGAACTTGACCGAGCGAACTTTCTGACGAAGATGGGATTTCACCAAACTTAGCTTAGCTTTCTCATATTTTTATAATTTTTAGACAAACGAGCTCAAATTCAGCTTTTCTGATCTCTTTTATTTTTCTCGTTCTCGTTATTTCATGATCATCACTCTAATTTCAGAATTGTCCAAAACTTCGTTCAAATGTAATTAACGTACATATAATTCCACATAGTCATTTTGATCCTGGTAACTATTGCTATTGTTATTTATTTAATCAAATGCGTTATTAGATATTATTCTACTTAGGATGGATTAATACTATCGATGGATATTTTTTTGGTGTTGCTCATTGGCGGTAAGTATTAAATAGACTGATTTTTAATATAGAAATTATGTCTATTAGAATAAATAGTCTAACAAATACATGATACTTTCTTTTAAAATATTATGTATTGTTATAGAACTCGGCCGAATCACATAGAGCCATCTCAGGTTTATATGCACAGTATGCCATCGGTATTAGCAATATTAAACAATGTTGTTGCAGCCTTATTAGAAAATTCTCAGAGGCGTTTTGTAATTGTTGAAATGTCATTTATTTATCGATGGTGGAATAGACTTGATGCAGAATTCAAAGATATTATAAGAAAATTAATAGCTGATGGTAAGATATGCTATATAGCTCATGTCATACTCTTGTGAAATATATGAGATATTTGAATGGTAAAAACTGTGGCAGGAATGTTGACTGTCTGTATTAATAATTGTTTTGTTTAAAATTTATTTATTAATAAAAATGTTTTTATTGTAGGTCGTATTGATATAGCTGGAGGAGGTTGGGTAATGAATGAAGAAGCGGATGCTCATTATTCGGTAAAGATAAATAATTTTCATGCATTATTTTATTTTTTGGATGAGTTAATTGTAAAAATCTACTAAAAATACAATCGATGGATCTGAATCGTTGACGTTGCTTTTCTTTTTCAGGCAATGATTGATCAACACACATTGGGTTTTCGATTTATAAAATCGGAGCTTAAAAAATGTTCACAACCATCTGTAGCATGGCAACTTGATTTATTCGGACATTCAAGGGAAGTCAATTCTTTGTTTAGTCAAGTACGTAAAAGAGGTTTGTACTCCTATTTTTTTCAATTTAGATATGTTATTCTAAACTGTTATATTTCTTTTTTTCTTAGATGGGCTATGACGGTGTCATGTTTGGAAGATTAGATTATCAAGAAAAAGTACAACGAATAGCAAAAGCACGATTGCAAATGTTATGGAAAGTGAATGACAATACTGGTATAATAAGCGTACAAAAATATAATGACAATAAATATCATAAAAATTCAATTTTTCTCTTAGCTAACGAGCAGCGGTTATTTACGACAGTGTTACCAAATCTTTATCATCCGCCTGAAGGTTTCAACATTGGACCACAGATCGCTGGTCAGTTGATAGTAAGCGAGACAATTATCTCAATAGAATATTTCAATGTATCTGAAAATTCTTATATTTACTAGAGAGAAGATGATGCTGATACAATGGAACAATCAGCATCTGCGTATAGTCACCGTTTATTAATTGAATTAGAAACTCAGGTAGACAGAAATTTGTTCATCTGTTTTATAAGATAGAAAAAGATCCGATCTTACACGGTTATAGAAAAATGAATATATCAGTGATACAGGACAATATAAAAGACTTATAAGTTCTAGTTTACACATAAAATCAACTCTGTTTTTGTTTTTAGCAAAGAATGTACAAAACGCAGAATATAGCTCTCATTTACGGTGGTGATTTCGAATATGAAGGTGGATTGTATAAAAGTTGACCAATTTCTTAACATATCAACACTATTTTGTTTTTGAATAGATGCCACACCCTATTTTCAAAATATTGACGCAGTAATTCATACTGTTCATCAATTGGTATATATATATATCATCTTTGGATAGATAAAAAGGCAATTTTCTTCTCTTTTTTTTGTTGTTTAGCAAAATAGTTCGGCAACTACCAAATACAACTTGATGTATTCAACACCAACATGGTGAGGTATTAATTATCCGAATGGAACTTCTTTTAACCAAGATCTTGACTTATGGGAGTTTTTGAGTAAGACCTTGAGAAGAAAACGTTGAAATTTCAAAGATTAAGTTCTTGCAAATTTTGAATTATCGTGTCATTTTACGCTATTCAAGCAAACAGTCTATACATCGTAGATTTGATGGTCATAACTGGCTGACACATACGAAAAGAAAATATGAAAAAAATTCACAGAAAAATCTTGAAACATATTGACTAGATTCACTCACAAGATCTTGAGTACAAGGATTAAATAAACTAAAATCTTGATTTCTTAAGATTTTTTCCAAGATCTTGGCTAGAAGAAGTTCCACCACTCTAACATAAAACAAATTGACTTTTGTCTGTTTTTCAGTTTTTTATACTCGTTAAATCAAGAAAAACGTAGATGGCCAACACGAAATGGTGATTTTTTACCTTATGCACACCGAGAACACGCATTTTGGACTGGTTTTTATATAGTAAGATTACAAAGCAATTGATATCATTCAGAAGGTTCTATATCTGTCTTATATCGTTCTCTTACAACTACTAGTCAAGACCAGCACTTAAATTTTATGAACGAAGATTGAACGCTTTATATCAGGTAAAATAATTATATTCTGTGAATTAAACATACAACTAACTTACTTAGGGCATACCAAAAGTAGTGAGAGAGGTACTTTATTTTCTTATAGAAAGCTTCAAAAAAATTTCTTTTTCTATGAACAGATAGAGCGTCTTTCGCTCTATTTTTCTATGCTATTTGATCAATATTCAACTAATATTATAATAATAAAATTTCGATAAGATCTGTTTCTTTCGCATATGTGCTGGTAGCATGAACATGA